CTACTGAAAACCCCAAACCCAAATAAGCACTTTCAAATTCGCAACAAACCCCGTTAAACTACCCATCTTTTCAAAGCAATACCCATGTTACTACAACCGGCGACTATTACACCTACTGCTCCGGTTTATCAACCGTGACCCGTGATTGTTGCTCCGACCAGATCTTGCCAGCCATTCAGAAAACCATATCTATTTGAACAAACAAATCAAACTGATAAAACTGCAACTTTTCAACATCAGTTTAAAACGCACGGATATACGGCGCCCAGCCGAAGACGACAATGTGCTGCTATTGACAACTTGACATACAACATGAATACCACAGCTCCTTTTACCTCTACTAACCGCTTTCACACATAAGGATTTCTGCAGAATGTCCGGTCGCCGAGAAGTTCTACACCTACTGCTGCCCCATTTTATGGAATACAACTGGGCATGGTCCACCACGCCCAGTTCTCCAAGAGCTCGCGCCTGCTCCGTATAATCTACAAAGACTCATTTATACACTGCAGCCAAAGCAAAGCGGTTGGTTCCAGAGCTACGCGTAACCCCTTTGGACCTGAAACCGAAAAGTGTGCGGTCAGCGGCCGGCTGCCACCATTGTAACAATCCGCCGCCCCCGGCACACATAACCGGTGGCCGGAACGCACCTTTCCCAAGCACTTCCAATATACATAACGTTGACGATGCGGTCTTTCTTCTATTGTGATATTCCATCCATGCACACTGGGTCCATCGTGGAACGTCAGTAACCCCCATCAACGTCTTATCGCCACCAACACAACTCTGCACAGGAGCGGACAATAATCTACTGCATGTCCCACATGCATACGACAATGGTACTGCTGCCACGGCAACAACCTCCCTAAGTGGCAGTGTAAAATTTTCTGCGCTAATGAATGGGCCGATAGACTCTTTACCTTACCAACCATTTAGCTTGCAGTCGTCTAACAACTTTTGGCAGACAACCTGTTTACTCACAATAACGTATGCGGCCAGAAACAGCAGTGCATTCACCAGATAGTTTCGAGGTTATAACTGCAACATCTGTATTACCTGCACGTGAAACATCTGCCGCACCTACGGGCTTGTCTTCCACGCATTCAACCAAGGACGTAAGCAGGTGACTCACCATTGCATGCAAACGTGCCAGCAACCCTCTCGGTGTCTTGCAACGCGATACAGACACATCAGTAAGCAACTCACATCTAGCAGAAATATGCCCCTCAGGGCTGCACACTTACTGTAATCCACTCTCTATGGCTTTCGTACAACATATCTCTGCGCACTACATCAAATGGTGTGTACGGAACACAATAAAAAGAAGTTGCGGTCATCGCGAAAAAGAGTTGAATTTCCGACGATTAGAGACCCATCCGCTGCACGTATTTTTCCCGTGCTGCCACCCGTATAGGGAGACGCGAGGATATAGAACAGGGGTTGCCCTGAAAAGGGCCGTTGGGTCGTTCACGAAGACAATAAAGTTAACAAGCAACCAGGAATACCAAATGGACGGTTTACGGCGACTTATTATCCCGAGGAGGCGGCAAACGGTTGCACTTCATCTACGAGGTAGCCTGCGCTATGGAATCGTATTATGGAAGTGTTGACTCACTTGTCAATGTCACGGTGGCAATGTGGACGGTGGCTAACACTGCTGCGACGCTTGCACGTAGGTGTACGTACCTTATATATGCAGGGGAAAGCCATAAGCGCACAGGTACTTACCTGCGGTCATGATGAACCCGGTGATGCATATCATGCGATCGCATGCCATGAAAGGGCGAGGGCGGCACGTGGGGATACGCGCTGTGTTATGATGTTGTTGGAAGGCAATGGTATGGGCATGCAACCGTGGCTGTGAAAGATAAGTCATCATAGCAGAGCAATGTCACCTCTGGATACCTTAGCATGATGCATCACAGTGCGGATGTCATACGTGTGACGTTGCTCAGTGGTGCTGCAATGTGGGATGGCAGTCGGCGGCGCATTTCACTTTCTCTGTTAAACGGAATTCATTAATGAAAACAATGGTTACCGTTGATTACGTGAAAAGGAAGCATGAAATGTCGGAGGCGAGAAGTGGGAGGTGGCTCAGTGGCGGTGCGACGTGTCAACGCAGTGGGCGGCGCAGTTCACTTTCGCTGTTAATTAAATGTGATGATGGAAAGCAATCCTTACCTGTGACTAAGTAACAATGATGCATCACCAGTCGAAGGCCATACGTGAGAGGTGGCTCAGTGGCAATGGTATGTTAAAAGGCGGTGCTCCGCGCACATCAATGCGTCTGTGAAACGGAAGACATCATGCAAAATGAACCGCACCTGCCACTACGTAAGGACCGCGCATGACATGCCGGATGACATACCTGGGAGGCGGCGGAGTGGCGGTGTTACGTCGGAAGGATATGGGTGCCCCATATCATGGAGGCTGTTAAAGGGAACCTATGTTTCAAATAGAAAATCGTTACTTGCGACTATGTGGCAAGGAGGCATCACATGGAGGAAGCATCTCCTGAGAGGAGGATCAGTGGCGTGGTGTAATATCACGGAAATTCCGCAGGAACGTCCCCCTGGTTATGAAAGAGCCGTCATGACATAAGAGCAACCATACCAAGGAATAATTAGCATGCAATGATCACATCGCAACCCAGGTACATTCAAACACCTTCCATGGCAGGGAATTACGCTGCGGAAATGACAGCCCGATGATAGGGACCTAAATCACGGTTAAGTAGGGGAAATGGGAAACGTGCCTTCGCGTAATGTTGCAGCGGGTTCGCGGCTCTCTTCACCTTGTTTCCTTCTCATTCATACGTATTCCAATCCACGGGAAGCTGCAATTCTGCGTGCTACAACTACATATGGCGTAATGGAAGGACTTGATAAATAGACATACCTGCAGCGCGTGCCATGCTACTCCGTTTACGTACGTAGCACAGACACTACGAGGAGCAAGAGAAGCAAACGAATTCCTCGTCACCAGCATAGCACACACATGACGCAGGTACCACTGGGAGCACGCATCGCACCTAACCCACTGCACCGCGTCCCCGCAAACGTTCACATTATACTCTGCTGACATACTCCGCAGAGGTCCTCTGAAACCACTCAAATAGTATGCTGTTTCCGTTTCACGGGCACTCTGTAGGAGGAGGAGATCCGTGTGCGAAGCTTACGGAAGTTTTTGCCCCTTAGCGCACTCTTACTAAAGCTCACCTCCATCACCCGGCACTTAAGGGGCGATTTACGATTTCTGGACCCAGTTGCCGACGTGGATGGAACCGATGTTGCCGTTGGATTTACAAGGCAGCCGCTATTCAACTGCGTTACTTGCACCGGGGTCGGCACATCGCCTTCCGACGTCCTGACTACCATGAACGCTGCGCCACCATGCGACGTTACCGGCCTAGGCAAGCCGCATAACATCTTTACGTTTTCCACCTTATCTAACAGATGGGGAACAGGGCACTTCGACGTTCGACTATAAAGCTGAAAAGCCGCTTCCTTGGACATCAGCAACGCAACCATTTTCAGGAAGGTAAACGCCGCGGAGAAGTTCTCCGATCCGTAGCTGCACAAATGCGTGCCGCTGTCAGCCAAAACATCCTGCGTCTTGCGAAGCTTTATGGTGCGGCTTACGACGGCATCGCTATCCCCTACCTGACGATCTAAAATCTGCACACCATCATCCAACGCAACACATTCTGAGGAGCCTGCGGGAGGTTGTCGGGGTGCGATCCACCGACATCCATGTATTATGTCCTCCGCGGAACGTCCGTGAAGCGCCGCCACATAGCAAATGTGAGCACATGGGAGCCGCCACTGCCGACTGAACTCGAAATCGCATTCACTGCCGCGTGTTATATATACCCGACGCACATTCGAACGAGGGCAGGTAACTAAGCAATAAGGCCCATCAGATCTACAACCCAGAACGGTTGAAGCACGGAAATGGGCTATGAAGACATTGCCTGCGGAATTGCTCCGCTGAGCAAATACGCAAGGCACTGAGGACACCTCTGATGGAACAGAAATTACGCTCATGCACTGGCTAGCTATTATGCTGTTACTTTCGTGCACGATACTGTTTACCCTAACAACCACGCAGGTGAACAGAATGAATAACGATGACGTCTCCGACAAATACTCCTTAAGATTCTTGTGCTTATTCTCCACCCTGTTTGTCGTGTGGCAGCCCAAAACCACAGCATACCTTAGTCTGTGAGCCGCCCAGGAATCTGCGTGTGAAAGCCACGTTGCACACAAATACCGGTAGCATTCAGGATTGGCACGCCGCACCGCGTTCAATAATCTTTCAAACACCGACGAATCACGAGTATGTATCAGGTTATGAAGCCAAGCGCGTATTTGCATTCGCCGAGCACCTGATATTCTACGTAGGCGACCGCAACGTCTAGCCATGTCCACTTTCACACTGTCCCGGCAAAACACCGCATTCGCGTTGGGATAATGACGTCGAAACGCCCGCAACTGAGCAGCACATTTATCCATCACTACAGTGCAGCAACGTATGCTGCTAGGCACCATCTCCCGCATTGCCTCCACCGCTTGCCCATAGCTATAGGACGTCTCATCAGGTAATAGGGCGTAGAAGAGGGAAATCCCTAGACCTGTTACGTCCACGGACATGCAATGCCACAAAATGAATCCACTAGTTAAGAGTAATGCTCTAGTAGAAACGTTTAGGAGGCTAATCTGGATAGGACCTGGACATGTGCTACCAGGGATTCGCCGTAAAACTTCAACAATTATAACTCACTGTCTGACACAGTATTGGGTGACATCGTCAATTTAACTGTTTTTTGATTACTTCTTCTTTTTTTCCTCTTTCCTTTTGTCTGACTAAGCTGTCCCCGTGAACCGTGTGAAAACTCCATTGGTTTTGAGTTACTTACCTTTGATGTTACAAACCCTCGTATTTGTTTTATTCAGGTGGAGGCCATCTTCCGATTTCGTAAGGTTACTTCGCAATTATCGATGTTTTCATACGTCACCGCTCATCTTCCTTCATTGATAGACTCGCAGGTGCTCGGTATTATTGATCCGATGCCGACTGACTCGCAGTATGGCAAGCGTAAATCAACCGTTCTGAAACGCACTACGGCTTTCGATGAAGCACGGTTACACATGCTACTTACAGGCATAGAGCTTGAAAACCGCAGTCCGTTTCTACTCCTCCGGCACATGCGTTCGCTTGTGGGTCCCTCGACCCTGGACGATCCCATACTCCTACAGATCTGGACTAATTGCTTTCCATTAAACGCCGCGGCAGTTTTAGCAATCCTAGCTGATGAACTACCGTTGGACAAACTATCCGAAGCGGCCGACAAAACCTATGAACGGTTCTTTAAATCTGCCGTAAATAATGTGACCGGACTGATCACTAGTTTATATGGAAGTACCGCACTTGACGCTAGTGGTCAATTTCTCTCTCAGTTAGAACTCGCTATGTCTCACGTCGGTCGTGAACGACCTGCTAACTGTAGATTCAACTCAAGGAGTATGCGCCGTGATGAATTCCGAACCAGACGATCACGATCATACTGCTACTTCCACCGCCGTTTCAGCAATGCTGCTGGCAATTGTCGTCCAGGTTGTAAATACCGGAAGACGTTTTTGGTTTCTCGGCAGGAAACGATAACGTCAGCCAGTGACGGCTACAGCAGCTGTTGACCAAACCATTAGTCGCCTCTTGCACGTTTTCGATTCCACCAGCAAACTTCATATTTTGGTTGTTTCCGGCGCAGCTGTAAGCGTTATACCTCGATCCTTGGAAAAACGTGCTCTGCGACCATTCGGAATTAACTAACAGGCACCTAACCGAACCAAGATCGCGACGTATGGCCAAAGATTGCTGACACTTAACCTTGGTTTACGACGAAAGTTCACTTTTATCTTCCTAATTGCCGACGTACAGAAGCTCATCTTTAGTATTGATTTCTCACCACATTCGGCCTGGTAGTAGACCTGCGATGTGGCAAGCTACGAGATGGTTCTACGTCATTAACTGTTTCCGGCTAGCTCGCTACGGTCATTTCCATTAAGCTTCAAGTACTTCTGCCTAAATAGGTACACTACTAGTCATTACTGCAACAATTCCCCCTGCTTAGAGTAGATGAAGGCACGCTAGAGCCAAAGCACGATATCTGTCACCATATCGTCACAATTGGTCCTCCTGTGACTGCCAATCCAAGACGCCTTCCACCGGACAAGCTAAAATCCGCTAAGAGATTGTTCAAACACATGCCTAACCTCGGGATCATACACCCATCCAAAAACTGCTGATCATCTCCGCTTCGTTTGTATCCCAGGAAGACCAGGGTTTGGAGACCATGTGACGAATACCGTGCGATCAACAGTGTCACTGTTCCCGATAACTACCGAATTTCCCATATCCATGATTTTTCCAGCAACTTTCACGGAATGTCTGTTTTCTCTACCATTAAACTAGCTCGTGCATACCATCACATTCCTGTCGCTTCTGACGACATTGCAAAGACCGCCCTTACTACCACCTTTGGTCTCTATAAATTTGTCCGTATACCCTTCGGATTGCGAAACTCTACCTAAACTTTTCAGCGGTTCTTTGATCAACTCCTTAGAGGATTAGACTTTGTCATCGCCTACATCGCGGTCATTCTCGTCGCTAGTTCCAACAATGAGGAACACCTGTCACATCTCCGTCTGATATTCGAGCGTTTTGCTCAGTATGGCGTGACGATAGACGTTGACAAATGTATTTTCGGCCAATCCTTTGTCGATTTGCCGGGTCACCGAATCGATTACAATGATATTAGCCCAGTTCCCGAAAAGACGCCGGCAATCGCTGATTACCCAATGTTTCAGTCCTTCAAAATATTGCATCGTTTCTTCTAGATAGTCAATTATTATAGTCGTTTTGTTCCAGATTGTTCTAGGCTACTTCAACCTCTGACAGATCTATTATATGCAAGTCACGTAAGTTTGAGCCTACAGCAGAAGCTACTGTGGCATTTGCTAAGACCAAGCAGACGTTATCCAACGTCACCGCGCTTAGCCACATGAAAACCGATGTTGATACACTTCTCCTTCTCAGGACTGATGCATCACAAACTGCTGTTGGCGCCGTTTTACAGCAGCTGATCAACAACCAAACTGAATCATTGTCTTTTCCACCAAAACGCTTCAGCATGCTCAAACTCGATACAGCACATTCGGTCGCAAACTTCTGGCTATTTATCTTGCCAGTAAGCATTTCCGAAATCTGCTTGAGGGACATACCATCCTAACGGCTCAAAACCGCTAGCTTTTTCCTTCTGCGGTTCCTCCGATCGATTTACACCTCGTGAGACTCGTCCTTTAGACTACATATGATAATTCACGACGGATTTTGGTCACACAGTACGACCGCTTGGAATGTCGGCGAAACTGTTTCTCCCTTCGAGTGTCACAGACTTGGAACGCCCTCCCGGAACATCTAATTAATGCACCAAACCTATCCCTTTTCAAAATACGCCTTGACGATACCCTGTCACATTTACGCTACGTGCTATAACCCATGACCACCAGATGCTGGCACTTATGCAAAACAGACAGTGGATATTGCGATAACCTTACTCGAGAATGAGTTACTCCAAACGTCTTGCACAAAATTTGATAAACACTACTACTATAGAAACTGGATTACTGTATCCCGTCGACCCTAGACAGCTGCACACGAGTAAGCGTTGTCCGCGCTTTTTTATTAATTATCTCGCCTATTACGTGACAAATAACCACTGCCCTTATTGCTTTGTGTGCGTACGTTCTCATTTCAAACTCCCTTCAGATGCTGTCCGCCGGTTCTCTCCATTAGCACAATTATCCTTCGTTCTTCTTATTTTCATTACGTTTACTGCAGAGACTCATTGTAGGCTCCATACATCTTTGAGCTTATCCGGAGCTGCTAGGAGACATTCCTTGTTTCTACATCATGTAATCTTTCAGATTGTATGTATCACTTACCCTCGCTGGCGTGTTGATGTGTTCTGTGACACTGTAGGAATCCACTAGTGTTTAAAGTGTCTAATGCAATGGCTACATCTGGCCACCGAATGTTTCTCGTAGTGCCAGTTTCTGTCGATCCTCTTAACCTCAGCACTTCTATTTAGTAGCAACTAGCGGTCGTAGTAGTTAGCATACATATCTACGCTAGTAGCCACTCTGTATCTCTCCCACTTACTCTCTTGAATTGTTAGCACAACATACCTTCACTGGTTTGTTGACTTCTTCTGTCACTGTATCTAATAAATAACTAAAAGGCTCAATGGAATTCAGATGCTGTCCGCCGGTCCTCTCCCTTAGCACAATTATCCTTCGTTCTTCTTATCTTCATTACGTTTACTGCAGAGATTCATTGTAAGCTCCACACATCTTTGCGCCTATCCGGAGCTACTAGGAGGCATTCCTCGTTTCTCCATCCTGTAATCTCCCAGATTTTCTGCATCACTTACCTTCGCTGGCTTGTTGATGTGTTCTGTGACACTGTAGCAATCCACTTGTAACCAAATAGCCTAATGGACTGGCTACATCAGGCCACCGAAAGTTTCTCGCAGCGCCATTTTCTGTCGATCCTCTTAAACCTAAGCACTTCTGCTTAGCAGCAACTAGTGGTCGTAGGCTCCAAGCATTTCTGGAGCTTGCTTAGAGCCGCTCTCTTCTATCTCGAACATTCTTTGTGACTGTCTGCTTCACATACATCCGCTTTTTGCTGATTTATTATGGGTAATTGTGGGCATACACTAGCAACTAAAAGTCTTCATGCAAATTCCATTGCTGATCACTGATACTCACACTTACATTGACCCTAACTGTTCCTCGTATTACCTCTGGCTCTCGTGTTTAGCAGCAGTCCTTCTTCATAAGCTACTATCATCTTTGCGCATATGCTGAGCTGCTAAGGTCCACACTTTTATCCCTCCAAGCTTTAATCCCTGGGACTGCGTGCGTCACATACACTTGCTGTCTGTTGACCTAATCAAGTGTCCACTAGCAATTATAAGGCTGCACCTAAATGCCATTGCTCATCTGCGACACCTAATTGACTGTAGTACAGCTCTCTCACTGGCTTCTCCTGGCTCAGGCCTCCTTAATTATACTCCATTAGCACCACCGCATGATTTGATTAGCTGCGCGTCGATGCGTCTTAGTCTATTATGCTCTAACTATCTAACAACCTCTTTGTCTGCTTGCGCTTTACTTGTCCGCTGTCATTCTATCACGAAACCTCTCTTAGCTTTCTTCTGTCGTGCAATCATATCCAAGTATTCAGCGTAAGCCGCTCTTCTGCCTCACATTTATAGACCTTTATCTACCCATTACTTGCTGTATTGTCTTAGACAATTTTTACCTACAATACTCCAAGTCTCGGGCTAGCAGTCCATGCCTCTATCCAGCTTGGCACTATTACCCTAGCACTCTGGCTGCTGCGGTTAGGCCTCAGGTTCTGATATCCTCAGCAACCTTAATGTACGCATGTATTCTGGCTATTCGCTGTCCTTCCGTCAATTAGCCCTTCTTAGCTTTTTAATTCGGCACTCTCTCACCTGGTCAGTACACAGACGCCCCTTGGCTTCTCATTTACAGGTGTTCATTCTTCAATTATTCGCTGCTATGTTTGCGAAACTTACCCATGTATGAGTCCAAGAGACTTACTGGCTTTCCCTGGGTCAGCATATTCTACGCTCCCCAGCGAATCTTCCCTCGCAACAGTTGCATCATAGCAAACCGATCCTGTGTTTTCTTTGCTCAACGGCGCAACGCTCTGTATCCAATGTATACGGTAGCAACCAACCTATAAGGCATTGCTTCCGATGAATATTCAAATGACACTTTTAGCATAATCATTGTTACACATTGTACATCATATGTTTACACTAAATGTTAGACCATAGGCCATAAACAATGCTTGTTCCCACGTTTGTTCTTTGCTGCCTTGTTTGTCTCTCACCTTTCTTTTCTCCGAGATCTGGGATTTCTTGGGGATCTGGGATCGGACCGTGAAAGAGCTTGTGCCTGGGACAGGACATAGAAACCCCCAAGGACCTACATAGAACGCGGCTGTACAACAAGTGGAGGAAAATGCACTCACTACCATGACCGTCGTCCAGTAAGGGTAGCTGGACATGACGCCTTCATACTCCTGCGAAGTATACATAATCCTGAGAAATCTAGACGCAAAAATCGGACGTTTTGCTCACCTGGACACGAAGATGACAATAGTCTAACCCTCCATGGGCATCGGCCATTATGGCCGCCCCGACCAAAAATAACCTCTTCCGCTAACAGAGGAAATTGGAAGGCAATTGACGGCGGTTAACCGAGGGTTAAATCAGTCGACGAGCTGCTCTGCCAGCTTTTCATTAGTGTACAAGCGGATTTCTGACAGTATGTCAGGACGTGGTGGGTATCCGCCTGGCAAGCGTTCTCCCTATACCAAGCCACAAATGTCCGCTTAACAACACTGCGACGTGGCGAATGTGACTCGCCGCTGAATAAAGTCACTGCCCTCAACTACATACTGGCAAGCCGACCAGAATCCTAATGTAATATTTTCCTGACAAGTTTTCTCTACAAACGGAATGCCCAGCCTGTTTACACTACGCACACTAGAACCCAACTTGTCGTCATGCATTGACGAATTTATACCTCAAGAT